GGACTAAATCCAATCCTACCTTAGGAAACAGGAATATTGATATTGCTTGGTTTTTACAGATTGCTTGGTTGTTAACAGTAAATCTGCAATTAACTACATTTTAACACAGACTGGCAAAGACCAGTCTATATGTGTTTCCTGTTAACAACAGTTTATCATAAATAATAATCCATGGAAACCCTGATGCTCAATTGAAGCTTACAATTAACTTTAAGACAAAAATCATATTTGGAGACTTCATTTTGGAACGTTTAGTCAAAATCCTGCCTAAAGTTAGCAAACCTAAGTCAAATCCTAATGAAATAAAATTGCTTTTCCTAACACTCAGATGTAAATTAAGATGTACCAAATACACATGCTATTCTAGCAACAAGGAATTTTGAAGTTACACATTGTCTCGTCACACATGCAATTTGGTATTTATCCTAGCAAATACTTCACAGTCAGAAAAACACTCAGTAAACAAGAAAATACTTATCAAAATGTCTGCCAACCATAGATATTTAGTAAGCAAGGGAAAAAGCAGCTTACCTGACAAATTACATAACACTAAGCATTCATTTCATAGCATGACAAAACTTATATCCTCCAACAGGAGAAACTTGTGTATCTATAAAGGCCAGATTTATCAAAAAAGATTAAACAATACCCAGGCAATCACTTCATTCTGACACTAAATTTTAATTTGCATGATTTCTCTTGGCATGTCTAGAAAGTTGTCATTTCCCTACTATTTCAAACACACTTGTTTTGCCACCAACAAACTCATTGCAACCAACTACTCTCTAGACAACTCCACCATGTTCAGAAGTACTAGGAGGAAGATCTTCAGTTTTAATTGAATGATGGTTCTTCATTAGCTGAAAAAAAATCCAACCCAAAGCAATCAGAGCATATAAGGAACTTCAAAAACCACTGGAGTGCTCACCCCAAGAAAGAAACCTTGTATTAATTTTACTATTAGGCAGGAGTCAAAGATACATAACAAACATGTCCTAGAATAGAGTTAGACAAGGGCACCGGTGACTTGGATTTAAATTGTTAAGTCTTGCTCTTACAAACTGGGGAACCCACAGGAAAGTAACTTTCAATTTTAGTTTTCCCACTTAGAAATAGCAGCTATAATATCAGAGCACTGCTTTAAAGAGTAAATACGTCACATATACAAGGCATAGGGCATGAGTGGTGTGTGCTCCCAGTTCTAATTTTAAGTCTTGTCAGAAAGCCATGCAACCATTTCACTTTTTTTGTGTGTGTGCCATTCCTGGGCTTGAACTCAGGAGCTGGACGCTGTCACTGAGCTTCTTTTGCTCAAGGCTAGCACTTTACCATTTGAGCCACAGTGCCACAGCCTGGCTTTTGCTGTTTATGTGGTACTGAGAAATCGAACACAGGGCTTAATACATGCTAGGCAAACACTCTTCCACTAAGCCACATTCCCAGACCCTCTATTTTTTAACAATATATTAAGGATATAAAAATAGACACACTCAACCCCCATAAGCATGTGCTGGAATCAGGTGGAAGGAAAGTGCAATATATTCCCATAGCTTAAAATATTCAGGGCAAACTCAATAGAAGAGGAGGAAACAAAAGAATAGACATTCTTCCCACCTTCATGAAACCATAAGCTGAAACACGTTCATACCACATTACAGGCAATGCTGAAATCCAAACAATTCTTAAAACCAAAGGAATATTTTTGTATATCTTGATAGGAAAGTCAACCTTCAACTTAAACCAGCTAGAAAGTCCATAGTATTTATTATATTGAGCACAGGTATTTTTAAATATCACAATCTTCATTTTCTGACATTTCCAAAGACCACTGTGAGTTAGCGTCTGAAAGTACAAAGTATTCCAAAATGCATGAGGCTATGGGCTCCAGGTAAGGGAATCTGAACTATTTCTATATAAAGGGTAAAGGCAGTGGGATGGGAGAAGATAGTTATGTAATGAAACTATTATGCCTAAGGCAGAGCCTTGTAGTTAAGAGTTTGCTTTATGTCCTTCCTGAGTCATAGTTGCCTTAAAATCCTTGAATATACTATAATATGAAAATGATAATACTAATTACACCACCAATTTCTTGAAGAATATAGATAATACATATAATATCCGTCAAACTATGCCTAGAACAAATCTACTTCCCATGAAATGCCATAAAATGTTAGTGAATAGGAAAATAGTATCAACATTTGTTACGTGTAATGGTTGATTTTGTGTGACAACGTGACTGAACTAAAGGATTCTCAGAAAGATGGTCAGATGTTATTTCTGATTTTATCAGTGATGGTGTCTCTAAAAGAAATTAGCATTCGAATAGATAGACAAAGAAGATGGGGGGCGGTGTTATCTAATCCTTTGAGAGCTTTCACTCAGGACTGTTTTATGAGTCTTATATTATTTAATAGTTTGCCTAGACTATGATATTACATACTGCCAACAAAAGAACATGGAACGGCTAAATCCCTTCTTTTGGAGGTAGAATATTTATCTTTTCCTCTCAGTACCAATTTCAATCTGAAGACTATTGGCTTTCCTGGTCTACCAACCATTGCTTTGGACATAAAACTGTACCTTTCTGGCTTTACTAGGGCCTCAGCCCACAATGGAAGGTAACAGGACTTAGCCTCCATAATTATGTGAGCCAAGAACTCATAATGACCTCTTCCTATATGTCTCCCTTTGTGTATGTCTTTTGGGTTCAGTGTCTGCATAACTGTACCCAATATAGTAAAAAAAGGGAAACAGGTGAGTGTGTTGCTCATATAGGCTTCTACTAACCACATTGTATTTGGAATGTAATTTTTCACTGTGAATTTTTATTTAGCTGGTGCAAAAGATATTTCTGTAATCAGAGACAGTATTTAGTACAAGTCATGAAGGCAGAGCATAATCTCAGTTGGACATTGCATACCAGCATTGGGAATTGATAAAACTTGATAAGACTTCAAGCTTGTAATGTAATAAATAAAATTAAGCAATAAATCACCGGGAGAAGACCGGGATATCAGACTAAAGGAATACTTCTGGAATTTAATTTGCAAAGTAATCTCATCAAAATACAAATTCTGATTGAATGGAATGGGAGCAGAAATTCTGTTTTTCAGATCTCAGAAAATCCCCATGTTGCTGGTGTACAGTGAACATGGAATAGGAAGGCCCCTGATCTAATCAATGGTAAAATTTGTTTTAGAAAAACAAATTTTACAGGACAAGAAAGGATGGCAGAGGAAAAACAAAGGCTGGGGTAACAATGCTTGATAGGAAATGGACTCATTACCTTACTCATGTAACTGTAACCCCTCTGTACAGTATCTTTACGGTAAATATATATTAAAAACAAAAAGAAACCCCTTGGCATTTGTTGAATCAAATCATCTGTTTACATACAGCCTGTTGAATTTTCCTCCCTGAGAAGAAAATAGAACACTTCTTAAAAACTCTAAAAGTAATAGTATACTAGAGCCCATTGCCTAAAGAAGAAAAACAATTATGCCTAAAATACAGGCCTTTACATTACAAGCAATAACACGTAGGCAAAGTCTTGCAATAGGTAGGTTCCTCAGCTGAAGCACCTACTAAATATTCACAAAGAGATAATTTACATTTTGTCCGTGAAATGCAGAAGTGACTTTGTTATAAAACCAAAGTTTATTCTATTTCTTTGTTTTGAAAGCATAGCAGACCACCTCATGGTTTATCACATTTCTCCCAGAGTAATATTTACACATGGCCTGGCTGGCATATAAATATATGTCAACATTTTGATTTATGGCTATAGATGATCTGTTTACACAAAGAGATATACGAATTATACTACACTAACAGTCTGAAACAAAATATACTTGAAGGACAAAGAAATTGAAGGTAAACTGTAAATGCAGTATCATAATCAGAGCAGTTTTCTGCATATGAACCTAATTGTTTGTCAAATAGATTTTCCCAAAACTTTAAAATAAATGTATGTATTCAGAATTCACATCCAAGACATTTCTTCTATTTCAATAAAATTTGGCATTAGGAAGTTCGCTCTCAATTAACACTTGAGTTTTATCCATAATCTAATTTTTTAAATAAAAGCTATTACTTACTTTAAATATTACACTTGTTTCCAGGATAGTTTTGCTAAGACTACTATTATATTTAAAACAATACTTCTCAATGAAAGGCAATTTTAGCCCCTATAAAATATTTGACCATGTCAGAAGACATTTTTGATTGTCACCTTGAGGGCCATGAGAGAAGAAAGTGTTGTTGTCATCTAATGAGTAATGTTGGGCACGCTACTTAACAATGTATGCTGTACAATAGTTTTAAAATCTAAAATCTATCCAGTATGATTGTCCAATATAGTGTTGAGATTGAGAAATCCAACCTAAATGATAGATGCTACAAACACACAAAATAATGTTCCTTCTGTATCTTGATTAGAATCCTAGCACAATGTTACATTGTACAATGTTACAATATGGGCATTGTATGTAGTTGTGATCTAGAAATTCAAAAGAGTGTCATGCACAAAAATACTGATGCTATTATCACAACAAAGAAGAATTTTTAAGAAATAATTCTGTCCATCTTTTCATTTCTGTCCATTTTTTTTAAAGCAATCAGTCTCATATAGAGAGTCTGCCTAGTACAAAGATGTGAAAGTGTTGGGGTGAAAACTGTCTCTTAGAAGCACAAATGAAGTATCTTTACAATTTTACTGGAATGACACTTTCCACTATTTCCTTTCCAATAGTATTGAGGTCCCCATGATTAAATTAATAAACTAATTTTTCTTCTATGGAAGTTAAAAATCAATGTGGCATAATAAGTGATAATTTCACAAGCAGGAAACGAAATAAAATGCAATTATTTTCAAAGAAGAAATCAGAACCCTTACTGGCCTACAGGCATTTATCCTTCTGGGATTTAAACTGTCATGAGAAATTCTGAACTGGCTTATATTTTTTAAACACAGGAACTGACAGTCATAAGGCCAAACATACCCTTAATAATCGATTCAGCCGCATACAGATCTCGCTTGTAGGTCACCTAAAGGACAAATAAACCTCATTAGATTTAACAGAGCAGGAAGGAATGTGAAAGCAATAAAATAATGCCCTTAAGGAAATTCTTGATTTTAGAAAAACTGTAAACATATAACACTGATAATTTCTGAGTTAGAATAGCATTTAAAATCCACATTAAATCATACTTTTGTTTACAAATTGTAGGATATTTAATTTTAAATCTTTGAATAAATTAAAATCATTTCATTACTGAAATATTATTGATAGAAAAGTTTTCTAATAAAATATAATGTTTTAATATTCAAATAAAAGTGTTGCTGCTCAGGAGGCCGAGATCTGTTTCAAGCCAGTCTGAGCAGAAAAGTCCATGGCATTATTTTCAATTAATCACCAAACAGTCAGAAGTAAAGCTATTGCTCAAAGTAGTAGAGACCTAGCCCTGAGCAAAAAAAAAAAAAAAAGTTTCAGAGACAGTCCTGACTGCAAGCCGCAGAACTGGCATACACATCAAAAAATAAAATAAAAAATAAAAAAGTATTAGCATTCCTACTTAATGCTAAGAGTTTATATCGCAAGGAAAGGTAAGAGAAAGTCTCTGTATTACAAAAATGACCAAGACTCTTTCTTAGTTGAATTTCTCCAGCATTAATTCATATCTTAAGGAATTTTCTCAAAGATCATACCACATTTAAAGAATTTCCTGGTGAATTTACTATGCCTTTATGTTCCTAGATAAGATTCACATTGTAAATTTTTATCAAAACATGGATTCCATTTTAATAAAAAAGTCTAGGAAATTGTGCTGTGGCTCAAAGTGTTTGATAGGCCTCAAAGTGTTTGATAGGTCTTAAAGTGTTCGATAGGTCTCAAAATGTTGATAGGTATCTTTGAGCTCAGGGAATGCCCACCCCCCCCCCAAAAAAAAGTCTATAGCGTTCCATTTTGTACCTAACCCCATTGGCAATCCTTGACTATAAACAAACAGCATCTTCATAATTACATCTTTTTCTTTATCATGGAAGGGCATTGCAGAATCAGTCCTATATCACAGAACTGAAAGGCATACATAGTAAACAATAAAATGATAGTAAATCAATAAGGTTATAGAAGTTCCTTATTCAGGCATCCAGAGAATTAGCATATAAATGATCCAAAACCCTATTTAACAAATATTTACCTACTGAGTATTTACCATTCCTGTAAAATTGGACTTCCTTTCTCTTGATTAACTCATAACTGGATTTGTATAGATATTTTGTTTGGCAAAAGTAGACAGAAAATCTCTACTCATTATAGATTGCTCTGCTAGATCTTTATTCTAAAATATTAGAGCAAAATTATACTTTACTCTGTAGAATTCAAGGAGCATTTAACTTGTAAGAAAGAAAGAAAGTTGCTCAAGCATTAAGCCTACCAAATTTAAAAAGGATATTACATTATCACTAAAACAAATGCATGCCAACAGACAGTCCAGGTAACCCGTAGTACTATATTCATTGATACACAATGCAATTTTTCCTTCTGAAGAACAAACTATAGAAAACAGAGATTTATGGGTTTACTCTATACATTATCAAATGTATTGGTCTTATTAATTCAACAGGTATTTATTAACCGTGTTCTAGGCCCTGATCTAAGTTCTGGGAGTAGAGTAAATGCAAAGGACTAAAACCATTCATCTGTAGAGACTGTCCCTTATATTAAAAAAAAAGAACAAAACTAAGCTTTAAGCCAGGCACCAGTGACTCATGCCTGTAATCCTAGCTACTCAGGAGGCTGAGATCTGAAGATGGCGGTTCAAAGTCAGCCTGGGGAGGAAAATCCATGAGACTCTTATCCCCAATAAACCACTTGAAAACCGGAAGTGGCACTGTGGCTCAACCGGTAGAGCACTAGCCTTATGCTGAAGAGCACAGGGACAGCACCCAAGCCCCACTATTGAAAAAAAAAATTAAAAAGAAAAAGCTTTGATTCTCTTGCCTTGAGAATACAAAATTAACTATAATCTGAACTCCAACTTAATACTTTCAATTTAAATAAAATATCAATTGCATAGATTAAACCAGGACAGGAACTAAAGGCAAAATACATAACTAACACATTCATTTTCTCTTCTCTCTTGCTTTAAAGAGTAAAACTGTATTCCAAATTAAGATTATGACTAACATTTTTTTCAAATAAATCTTAGTGATGGGCTTTTTAATGTACAGAAAAGGTTTTCTTAAATACTCAAATGACTTTCAGAAGGCTGTTCTCCACTAATATTTGCTATACACAAAAGAAAGGCCTCTAGATTTATTTTTCCTGTCTACTCTAGATAACACCTACATGCAGATAAAGTCTTTTCTTTTTGAATTAATATCTTCTACATAAATCTGTGAATACATCAACCAAACATCTGGAAATAATATATATATATATGCATACATATATATTGACATAATAAAAAACTTCAGAAAATATATCTGACAAACTTGAAAAGTATCTTTTTAAGAATAGCCTTATTATTACTTCCTAAATAAAACAGCTAGTGTACTTAAAAGGGACTATTACTGGAAATGTTGTAATTCTCAATTGAGGCATTATTGAATTTTCTAACTTTTACAATATGTTAACCTCTCATTTTTTAACTTAAGAAACCATCCAAACAATCAGTGTTGAAATTGATTTCCTTATGCCAGTATGATCTGTAGTTTTCCTCTGACCTTGCACAATACCCTACAATGGAAAATAACTACTTTAAAAAAAAATTCTGTACTGATAGAACAGAACACCAGTTTTTTCATTGAACTGTTTTCACACTGTGCTCACTGAAGCCTCGGGGGCCACATCAAGAAACTGTGCAGGTAAGACACTAGCCAGCCCAGCATCTGCCACTCTGCTAATTTAGCTCGATCTTTGACTATTTTGTTTGATTGTGCATCTGTGAAACAATTCCCATGAGCAATTAAGTTTAGCTGAAAACAAAATTCAATAGGATTAAACCCTGAAGTTCGAAATTCTATAATCTTCTCATGCCTAAGCCAGAAATATCCCAGCTCACCCAAGGTACATTCCAGTTGGGACTATTATACTTTCATTGTGTGTGTGTGGCTTCTGTGTTGAGACATCTTTCAGAACACAGCTAATTCCGTTTGGCCACCATCTTCCCTCAGTCAGATCACCTCATAGATTATATATATATATAAAATACTTAAGAAAAAAGCTAGAAAATTTACATTTTAAAAAGCCAAGGCATTTATTAGACACATGGATATTTTAACATTTTCATTTCATCTATTATGTACATTTAGAAAATATTCTTTTCTCTAGACTGAATAACTGTCTAAAACCTCCTATAAAAGAAACATCAGTACATTGTATTTTTGAGATCAAAAACAAAATAATGAAACTATTGTGCATCTGTGTTTCTAAACAAAGAGGCCAGAGAACTGGGATCTAAAAGTATAGTCTCCATCAAAAAGAGACTTCAAGGCATTCATCTCAATAATACCATGAAGACACAGTAACACTTCAAATGTCCTTCTTTCAATGCATCTTCAGACAATGACATACAGTAGTTAAATTTCTCCAACAATTGGTTATAAATCTCATGCCTTGAAGATAGTGTTGACATTTAGAAACAAGGAGTCTATTCAATTAAGACTACTGTGTTATGAATGGCCTAGTAAGTATTTTGATAGACGCTAGACAAAAATATAGTTAAACTATAAAATTAAGTTCTTATGTAGACTAGATGAAATCTCACCAAAATACAATGTTTACTGGAATCTATCAACAGCACAAATCAAGACAAGCGTGCTAGCTTAATCGTATTTCTGGGAACCAGAGTTGTACGTTCCTGCCACTGATCACTCAGGGAAAAATATGGTAATCATCTGGTCATTCTGAGGTGATGTCCCCTATCCTGTATAGTGATGGGGAAAAAAATGTTTTCCTCCAAAAACAGCAGAAACTAGTTTAGGAAGGTTGACTTCAAGTTTTTATTTTTAAATCATTTTTTATCGAAATGTATATGTCAAATTTAAAATAATAATCTTCCTGAAATTTACAGGGGCAATTAAAACAATGTCATATGCAGTCATCCGAAATATCTACTCATTCTTCATACTTCTGCATCATGTACTCCATTACTTCAGAGGAATAAAGAAAGTAGTTATACTTTCTTTTGACTTAATGTTTCATGGTGGTGAAATGCCTCTCAATTCTATCACAATGTGTCTTTCTCTTTCATTGTTTCAGTCTTCTCAATCCTGCAGCAAGTACATGGCCCTACAACTTGTGTCAAATACTAGCTCAGCATGACTAATACTTTTTATTTCTACTTGTGTTGATGATGGCATCTTTGGAATTAGTATAAAATTAGAACTCTAACTTCAAAGTACAGATTACAGTGCTGTGGATTAAACAACAATTACCATATTCTCTATGCACATAAAATATCATAATTTTTTTTAAAAAACAAAAGATAATTTATACAATGCCAGCAAAACTAATTAAACAGGAACTGAATAGCTAAGAAATTACCAAAAAGAAAGAAAAGATAGAATAATAACACAGGGCCTGAAACACTGAAATATTTATACTTGCTCTACTCATACTGCATTTTTAGGACGCCATGCCCAACCCTTTGTATTACAATACAATCTATTGTATTAAACAATGATGTATATATTCATTCGTTGTTCATGTGCCCAGCACGATGGCTTATACCTATAATCATAGTCACTTACGAAGCTGAAATCTGAGGATTGCAGTTTACAGCCGATCTAGACAGGAAAGTCTATGAGATTCTTATTACAATTAGCAACCAAAAAGCAGAAAGTGGAGGTATGGCTCAGCAATAGAGCCCCAACTTTGAGAAGAAGAAAAAAAGCTAAGGGACAGGGCCCAGGTCTTGAGTTCAAGTCCTAGTACTGACACACACACACACACACACACACACTCACACCCCAAAGAACCTTAACCTTGTTCATAGGAATAAGGATCCCCACTTTTGTACTGGTTTGTGAAATGATACCAGGATCCAAAGTCTTATAAGCCTGAAAGCATGTGTCACCCCCTCGGCATGTTTTACTGCATTGTACGAAGGCATTACAAACTGGTTGGGAACTGTATATAACTACTAGGTCAATAATTAAAAGTGTAAACATTGCTGCATAAGTTAAATCACTTCAGCTTAATTATATAATAATTCAAAGATCCCAGGGAGAAAAAGAATATCTTATTTGAAGAAACTCTTTTACTGGGTATTTTATATTCTGCAAAGAAGATCTGTATTTCTTTGATCGACTCTCAATTTAAATACTGTGAATTATTTAAATTACAGTTTGTCTCACAAGTTTTCATAACAAGATAAGATTAGATACTTTATAATTTAATCTGAAAAAAATGTATTTTCTCATTTATGGAGTCTACACAACTGAAGTCAAGTTGGAGACAGGTCCAGTTGCCTTCTGGAGTCTTTCAGGAAAGTTTCTTCCTGGCTTCTACCTGACTCTAAGTTATTACTGACAAACTTTGGTGTTTCTTGACTTATAGGTGAATTATTAATTACTCCAATTCCTACTTTCATCCTAATATGACATTCTCCTAGTATCTGCATCTCTCATGTTTTTAAAATGGCAGCAATCACATTGACATTAAAGTCTACCCTATTCCATCCAGTATGACAACATCATATTGGATGGTGTCATCCTACCTGATTTCCTCTGCAAAGACTCTCTTTCCAAATGCCACATCCACTCTGGAATGCTTAAGACTTGAACAGACATTTCCAAGAGAGACATCAACCAAAAGACTTCCTAGTAGAACTAATTTAGAAGCACTGTGGGAACACCACTGTGTCACTGTCTCTGAAAAAATGTCAGAATGTATCTGAGGACCAATACTGTTTTGCCAGGGAGAGCGGTGAAATATGAGTGCTTCACACCCACACAAAAATTAATGAATATTTGAAGATTTTTAAGTGAAAACTTCAAACAGCAATAAGCTACTTTCCTTTCATCTAAACACCCAAGGTCTTGACAAGTTTGGTAGAGACCAATAACACCCACAAGAGGAGATCACCACACCTCCAAAGTAAAGCCACTGAGATCTGACATGTTAGTGGCAGTACAATCTCAGTTTCCATGCTGTTTGCATAGCCATCAAATTAGTTCTAGCAAGACAGTCAAAGAAACTGTCAAAGGGAGTTGTGCCAGAGATGTGGGTCAGGATTAGAAATGGACAAAATAATATTTATTACTATATATTTGTTACTAGTATGGTAGTATATGAGTAAAGTATATACAATGAGTTGTTTTCTCTTTAACATATGGTCAAATCAAGTGATGATCATTAACACTGACTCTCCCTGATTCATTCCAAAGTCAAGTACTAAATTCATCCCTAGATGGACTTAGAAGATCTCACAAAGTGCATACTGAGGAGAGCCCATATGACAAATATACATTTAAAAATAATAATGAAGAAAGTGTTTGTCCACTGGGCTAATGACATTTAGATGTCCTTACTTAAGTGAGTAGTGGTACTGCATAAACTTCTCTATTAACAATAATCCATGCATGTCACTATTTGAGGAATTTGCGAATTTAATCCTTTAACTATGTCTGACATAATCTTACCATGCAGCAAGGCCTATTATGTTACTGTGGAAAATACCCAATCAATTTGTAGGGTCATTGTAAAAAGCAATATGAGGGGGCTGGGAAGGTGGCTCAGTGGTAGAGCGCTTGCCTTGCATGCCTGAGGCCCTGGGTTCCATTCCTCAGCATCACATAAGCAAAAAAGAAAAAATCCAGAAGTGGCACTGTGGCTCAAGTGGTAGAGTGCTAGCCTTGAGCTGAAGAGCTGAGGGACAGTGCCCAGGCCCAGAGTTCAGGAGCCACAACCGGACCCCAAAAAAAAAACCAAATAAATAAATAAATAAAAATAATAAAAAATAAAAATCAATATGAGTTATGCTGATGAACTCAAACAGAGTCAGAATGAGTCTTTACTAGTCAGAATCTGGTGTATATTTTATAAAGACTTCCCTGTACAACAAACAGTATTTCAAAAGTAGTTCTACCTACTCCAAAATTTGGAGATGACTCTGAAACCCTACCTCAGAATGGACTGTCCAGTTCAACACATTTCTCTCTAATAAAGCAAAAGCCACACAGTAGAACTTCCTTGCCACAACAGGAAGTTATAGAGTGCTGATATCTTGTTGTGAAAAGCCATTCCAGTCCCTCCAAAAGAAATAGACTTGCTATTAAAAGAGTTGTATCTCTCCACAGGAAAGGGTACAAGTCTTCAAATATGAGCAAGAGTTGCCCAAGCTACTGCTCAACATGTCAGAACTGTGCTAGATACACTACCAATGCAGTTAAGTTGGTGCTACTAGCTTAACTCTGGAAGGAAATACAGCTATTCTGTCCATCAGACTGGTCGCTTCCATCCAACAGAGTAAACAGAATAAAAGCCTATATACATAAGGCAAGAAAAAGAAGAAAGTGAAATAAACAAACTTATAGGCTAAAATACAATTTGTCAGGATAATCCCAGAGTGAATTTTCTTAAAGCCAAGCAACTGGAATGATACGTTTCACTTTGGTGGCAAGAAACCCAGTGAGACTCCATTTAAGGGTTCAGTTGAAGACCTACGCACACACACGCACACACACAAGCAGACAAGAACCAGGTAAAATACCTTCTCGCTTACCTTCCAGAGGTCAGGTGGTCCTTCTACCAGTTTGGCTTTTGTGTGACTGTATTTTAGAGCCAAGTGCAAACATTCAGTTCCAAATTCCAAGTCATAGTCACTACACTGGTGTAAAAAGAAAGACAAAAAAAACAGCACAAAGACAGGAAAAGTTAATGATCTATTGTACAATTTTAAATAAAACTAAGCCTTTTTTCATAAACAATTGCAAACAAAAAGGGAAGAGCCTAGAGAACTCACAAACCTTTTAATTAGCTACTGATTACGTTACTAAATAATCCTCCCTGATCCCTAAAGGCAAAACAAAACATAAAGTAAATAGGAATGTTGCAATCATTCTAACAGTTTGGGGCTTCCTCAGGCATTTCAGTGTCCAACAAACACAATACCTTAGTTCCTTTACTCCTAAGTTATTCTCACACACCCCATCATAAAATGCCTGAAGGTAGGGCTGAGGACTGTGTCAAATTTCTCAATTTAACAAGTGTATAAATCTGTAAAACCTAAACCCCCTATATTGTATTTATACCAACACATTTATAGGTCTCCATTTATTAATTTTAATATTTAGAATACAATGTTTTCAAATTTTGTTTCTGGGCATGGAAACAATTCCATCTTTCATTGTATGGAAAGTGTCTACATCTGTCAAATTCAGTCAAGTAAAATATCATATGAAGCAAGACCATCAACGTAACTAAGAAATAATTTATAATTCAACTGAATACTCACCAACAATCCTATCTCCAGGGCCTATACTATGGAGTGTCTATACAAAGGGAAATGACACATGTCGAGATCAAGTCTAGGCAGGCAGGCCAACTTAATAATTTCAAAGAGAAGAGAATGTGCATCAAGTACTAGAACACGTAGGGGAGTCTGGTGGGGGAAAATACTTCATTTTATGGGAGAAGACCAAGGAAAGTTTATCAAAAGCAATGATACTATCTTAAAGACCAAATGAAATTTGAAGAGAAGGAATAATATTTAAGCAAAATGTGCCATGCAAAGATATAGAGGGTAGAGATATTTGATAGATTTGCCTTTCAGAAGAAGCATAGCCATGGAAGGTGACAAGAGCAAAGCAACAAGCAATGAATGCTAACAAACATCTTTGTTCTATTGCAATGAAGGTTACAGATCCTCCCTATAATCATTTATGAAGTTAATGAAGAAAACACAAACAAATACACAGAGTCTAATACAACATTATCAATAGTCATTCAAATCAAATAAGTTGAGATGAGTTTGGAATCTCTGCTTTGCACTTTTACTATTTGCATGGTGTTCTCTGGCAGTATGTGAGTATGTATACATGAGTATATATACACGCATCCTACAGATGACTAGCAATAACTTCACATCTTCCCGGACCCATCCCACTAACACTGTAATTAACACCTTATAAATGCTCACAAAAGACATTTCCCCTGTAGGGACCACATTTCCTGTCATGGTGATGTAAAACATACTAGAAGCTGTGTTCCCACCAGCCATGCAGTGCATGTACTAGCATTGCTAGGAAATTCTATATCACTAGGAAAACAAACATTTCAGTATCTATACAATACACACACACACACACACACACACACACACACACACACATCAAAAATGAAGACTAGGCACTCTTTATGTCGTTGGGTTTTTTTGCCAGTCCTGGGGTTTGTTCTAGGTATTGTCCCTTACCTTCTTTTGCTGAAGGCTAACACTCTACCACTTGAGCTACAGCTTCACTTCTGGAATTTTGGTAGTTTTTAATGGAGATAAGAGTCTCACAGGTTTTCCTGCCAGGCTGGCTTTAGACCATAATCTCCAGATCTCAGCTCCCTAAGTAGCTAGGATTACAGGGGTGAGCAACCGACATTCAGTGGGGGCTAGGCATTTTTACATTACATAGACTAATATTACAACAGGTATGGATCTTGAAAACATAGTTTGTAATAAAGCTTTTTAAAAAAGTGGATTTAATGAAGACCAGGAAGCTGAAAGCTATCTTGATGAGGGGATGGAAAATGAAGGAAGTGGGACAGACAAGGATGAGAGAAGGCAGCCATTATTCTCATTGCACATAAATGAAAACCGAGCTAGGGAAGTTGAAGAGACAGGTGTGGATGGGACCAACTGGGGAAAAGTAAGTTCGTTACACAGAAGTTTGTTACGTGAAAGAAGGCAAGCTTTCCATAATCTTTTACTGAGCCTGGGTATAAGGACTATGAATTTCACAATAGCTGCTGTGTTCCTCTTTTCTCCTATAATGGGCTAGAATCCGGTATTTCTCTTCTCATTTGCCAGTTTTTCATTGCTGTGACCAAACACTTGAAGGAATGACATAAAAGAAAGAATTATTTATTTTGCTCACGGTTTCAAAGGTTTTGGTCTGTCTTGGCTGGAAGTTGTGGTGCAGTAGCCATATTTGAGTAGTTGGGAAGCAGAGCAGAGCATTCACAGGAGGTGTCAGAACAAGAGAGAGCCAACATGCCCCAGTAGCTTCCTTCTTCCAATCAGGCCCCACCTCCCACACAATTCCAACACCTTTTCATTGTCCATTCAAAGTAGGAACCCATAAATGGACTAAATCATTAGGCCAGAGCTCTTAAATGATTAAATCATCTCTGGAAACAATCTCACAACAACCCCTCCCCCACCCCGACAAAGCTATGCTTTCTTAATCTTCTAGTTGCTTTTCAATCGAATCGAGGTGACAATTAAGATTAACCATCACATACATGTTCATTAGGCTCTTATGAGAAAAAATTAGTTTAGAATCAAGGGAAATGGTTTCTCTTGGGGTCTATCCCTATCACAAAGAACAGAATGTTCTAGTACATTTCACAATGGTTACTTTTCCTCTTCCTCTAGGAGCATGTTCAGTCTGAGAACCTAGTCAAGTTCCTAGAGGTAAAATGCATAAGCCATGAAGGTTACTCTTATGATAGAAACTCCCTGAAATTAAGTCTGAGACTTTTCTCTACACTGACTCTCCAGCTACACTTTAATTTTAATTTAGGGCTTCCTATCCTGGTGCTACTTTCTAGGGAAACAAGTTGTGATCCTCTGACTTACCTATCTACCTCTCCACTTTGGGGACAATAGTTTGTCCCACCACCTCCCTTCTCTCAGTGACATGAGAAGGATTATTCTTTTTGTTAAGCTTTTTCCTGTTGGTAGGATGAAGCAATGGCCTATATATTTTTTATATTCCAGACAGGAAACTGGAAGTCCCACATACATACTCTCAGGAGGCCATAGGAAACAGGAATACACAAAACTAGAAGACAAAGGTAAGAAAACACATGGGAAATAGAAATCAGATATATACTTGGGAAGCCAAGCACTGGTAACTTACATCTGTAATCCTAACTACTTGCAAGGATGAGAATGGCTATTTGAAGTCAGCCTATCCAAAAGACTCTTATCTCCAATTATCCACCATAAAAACGTGACTGGAGGCATGGTTCAAGTGGGAGATTACGATTTATGAGTGAAAAGGCCAAGCAAGAGTTAGAGTTCAAGCTCTGGTACCAGCACACAAACATACCAATACACACGTGCATGTGTGTGCATGCATGTGCAAATATGCACTCTACAGGAGAGAAGCAAAAGGAATTCAAAAGATAGCAGTGAAGCATTTGAAAAAGTTATTGGGCAGGAGATAAAATAAGACAAAAGGCAAGAGGATACAAATGAAAAGAATCTTTTTTTCATGGACTGGGAGCTCTCAGAAATAAACTGATGACCTCTAGAAATAAAGTTTTAAGAGTTTTATTTTTGTACCCTTTGCTATGAATCTACTGTACTGTACTATTATTACTTCTTGCTCCAAAAGAATTAGGTATTAGTTACAGAGTATATTTACACTGTGCAGCAAAAATATTGTCATATTCTAAAAAATAAATATTTACAGTAATTATAGTTTCAACTCCAAACATATATACTTCATCCTTCCCACAAAGCAATCTGATGCTCTTGTGATAAGCTACAGAAACCTAAACAGTTGAATCTACAAATATGTATACTGTTGCTACATTATAACATATTGAATTTAGTTACCATTATGATAAACAAAAGATTTTAATTTTCTCACATGCAAATCAACTACCTCCATGAAAAGCATGAATATTTAGAATCATATAGACCTGGATTGCAATTGTACTGCACTCACATAATAAATTGTCAGAATATGGAAGTTTTTTTTGTTTGTCAGTTGTGGGGCTTGAAATAAGGGCTTAGGTACTGTCCCTGAGCTTTTCTACTCAGGGTTAGTACTCTACCACTTTGAACCACTTTTGATTATCAGGTAGTTAATTGGGGATAAGGGTCTCATGGCCTTTCTTGCCTAGGTTGGCTTTGAAGCATGATCCTCAGATTTCAGCCTCCTGATTATAGGCGTGAGCCACCAGTGAGAAACATTATAGAAAAAAAGTTATGGAAAAGTTATTTATGTCGTCTGGCAGCTTCTCCTATTTTCATAAATGGAGGATAAGAGATGTTACAAGGAACTAACATGAAAATACCTATGATGTATCTGGTACAGTACCTAGCTTATAACAATTCCATAGTAAGACATAGTTATTGATTATAAAGTTGCATAGCTAACCATACAGAGTAGAGTTTTAAAACTCTCAAAATCTTAATCAGCTAACATCTTATGTTGTGTAGAACCCATTTTCTCTGCAGGGAGATTGGATTCATCCTTGACAAGGTACACCACCTCTGCCTTCTGCTTTTCCATATAACTAACTGGAAAATGGGAGATAAATCCTACCAACAATGGAAAGATTTCCTTGGTTTATTTGATTGGAGAAGGTTGTAGTGGTTATGTAGTTTCTGTATCCATTCACCCATTTGTGGACACACAGATTTTCCCATATTATGGCTTCTGAGAATAATGCTTCGATGCACATGAGGGAAGATGTTTAAATGAAGTGCTTATGTCAACTTTCTTTGAGTAACCAATGTGCACATACACGTATTCAATAAGCTTATTTCTCACATGGCTATGCAGTGGCTGGGATGAATTTTCTACAGACAGAAGGGGTATGGGAGCTCTGAGCCATGTGCTTACTATGTAGCTAAGACTGAAAAGGCAGTAATGGGAATAT